AGCAGGAACAGAACTCGGTCTCTCTGGACTGCAGGCGGACGCTCTCACCGCTGAGCCAAACTGGCCAGGGCAATTTCCCCTCTTTCTGGTCCTGCCAATTACTATCTAATCACAACAAAGCAAATACTACACATGGAGAAGTTTCCGTGCTTCTAGACTCTTTCAAAACACTCATCTTTGCTCTTTATTTCATAGCTACTGACTTCTAGCTGGGATGGTAAGTGGAAGTTAACACACAACAGACTGGAGCTCTGCTGCTTCTTTTTTCTTTTTTAATGTTTTTATTGATCTTTTATAGAGGAAGGGAGACAGGGAGAAACATTGATGTGAGAGAGAGACATCTATCGGCTGCTCCTGCACGCCCCCTACCGGGGATCAAGCCCACAACCTGGGCATGTGCCCTGACAAGAATTGAACCAGGACCTTAGTCCATGAGACAATGCTCAATCCACTGAGCCACACCAGTGGACCGCTGTTTCTTATTTTTTAGATTCAAAAATATAATTTTTAAAACTCAAAGTTGTAGTTCAGAAGTAAAATAGCATCATGACCTTGGCAAAGATTTCTCAAAAGGCATAAAATTGATAAATTTGACATCATCAAAATTTAAATCTGCTTAACAAAAAACACCATTAAGAAAGCATAAAGAGCCCTGGCCGGTTTGGCTCAGCGGTTGGAGCGTCGGCCTGCAGTACAGAGAGACCCGGGTTCGGTTCCCACTAAGGGCGCGTACCTCAGCTGCAGTTTGTCCCCGGCCCTGGTTGGTCGTGCGGGTGGCAGCCACTCGATGTGTCCCTTCACATCGATGTTTCTCTCTCTCCCTCTCTCTCCCTCCTGCTCCATCTGAACAAAAAATGGAAAAATGTCCTCGGGTGAGGATAAAAAAAAAAAAAAGAAAGCATAAAGAAACCAGATTGGAAAATATTGACAATACATGTTTCTGACAACTGATATCCTGAATATATAAAGAACTCTTACAACTCAGTCATAAGAAGACACAACAACATTAACTGGCAAAGATTTTATTACACACTTTACAAAAGAATATATATGAATAGCCAATAAGTACATAAAAGGCATTCAACATAATTATTCATTAGGGAAATATAAAATTAAGACTCAGTGAGTTAGAACAGCTAACATTAAAATGACTGACAATATCAAGTGGGGACACGGAGCAACTAAAACCATATACTACTACTGGGAGTGTAAAACGGTACAGGTAGTCAGGAAAAATGGTGGTTTTAATGAAGTTCAGTAACACCTACCTCATGACCCAGCAATCTCACTCCTAGGTATTTACCTAATAGATACGAAATCTACGTCCAGAGGAGCTTCATTCATGACAGGACCAAACTGGACAAACCCAAATACATAGTCAGCAACAGAACAGTGTTCTGATTATACAATGGAATACTACCCAGAAATAAAAAAGGAGCTACTGATAGTTAAAGTGTGTGTATGGATCTCAAAAACAGTATGCAGCCTTATATGAACATATTAAAAAACAAGTAAAATTAATCTGTGGTGACAGAAAACAAAAGTGTTTACCTTTGATGGGGATTGTGGTTACACGGTTGCATACATATGTAAGAATTAAATGAGCTACACACCTGATTTGTGCATTTTATTAATAAAAATACAATTTTAAAAAGTAAATAAAATTAAATAGTACTCTCGGGATTATGAAAAACACCAGGCCCCATTCCTCCCCAGAGATGACTACTTTAACTCTTTCCCTTTAATTAACCTTCATATTTATTTATAAATAACCCACTAACACTGCCATTTCTTGATTTTCTGTGTATAGATATTATCTGTTGACTCCCTACTATGGAAAATATGCATTTAACTCTTCCAACCACTTTGAAATTGGCCGCACCAGGGATCAGAGGACACATGTTCAGCTTCCTAGAGTTGCAGGGCCCAACAACAGCCATGCTCTTTTAGTAGGGATACAGTAGTGACTTAGGCTTTCATTCTAAATTATTAGGTTATTATATTTACTTTAATAAGCATTTTTCTCCAATTAGAATACACCCCTTTTTAAGGCTGAAAAAGTGCCATTTTTACTAAATTGTTTCCTTCCAGAGTATTTGTATTTTATTTCCTGTTGCTATTGCAGTCTGAGTTCTCAGGTGTCTATTTTTCTACCTTCCTGAACTCAGAAGGTACCTTCCTTGTGGTCAGTTGGGACAGCAATGGCTTTAGAACTTTTCGCAGGGAAAGAAACGATCCATGTCTGTGCTGTCCAATACAGTAGCTGCTCACCATATGCGACTACAGAGCACTGGAATGTGCTAATGTCCCTAAGGAGCGGAATTTCCCATTCTATTTGTGTTACGTTTATATAGCCACTTGTGGGTGCTGGCTGCCGTATCCCACGGTGCAGTTCCAGACCAACCTCTCCCCTCTGCCTCAGTTTACAGCAGCAATTTTCAACTTTTTCATCTCATAGCACACATAAACAAAGTACTAAAATTCTACAGAACACCAAAAATGTATTTTTTGCTGATCGGACAACAAAAAAAGGTATAAATTTGATTCATTTACACCAGATGGCTATTGTTGTATTGCCTGCTGTCTTTTTTTTTTTTTTCTTGACAGTCTAAGAGAAAAGAGGTCAAGGCCCCTGACTAGAGTAAGGTATTGCATGTTTTAAAAATTCTTGCAGCACACTGGCTGAAAATCACTGGTTTACAGTGAGCAGGGACTCAGAAGAGAAGTGATTTATCTCGAGTTAAGGATCCCTACCACTCATTACCCACTGTGCTGGCAGCTCCTACTCCTCACTTACTGCTTTCCTTCCCATTTTATCTTCTATAGCCTGTTGACATTTTTCTTCCTTTTAATCAGTGGCAAAAAAAAAAAAAAAAAAAAAGGGAGAAACCCAAACAAAATAAAAACTACACAAAATGATTATATCCCCTAGTTGAAGACAAAAAGGGATATTTAGGCCATTATATCAATAATGATGGAAAACAAATAGTATTGTTTTAGTTCTTAAGTCCAAAAGTTTTCATCTATTTCAATTTAGTGCTATCTAGTAGGCCTGGTTCCATCACTGGCACCTCACAGAAGGGAAATGAAGGCAGAGAACTGGAATGCCTTTCCCTGCAGTCATACACTGAATGGTCAATAAAAAGGGGTTGGAAGTTGAAATTCACTGTCTTTCAACCAGGAAACACGGGTTATCTTGGATTGCTAATAAGCACTGCTGTCGATGGACAAGGCTTTCTGAAATAACTCTTAGTTCCTCCCAACAAACTGAACTACTTTGTTGTCTTTTTAATTTTTTTTCTTTACTGACCTTAGAGAGAGGAAGGGAGGAGACACATAGAAACATCAATGAGAACATCAATTGGTTGCCTCCTGCACGCCCCACACTGGGGATTGTGCCCACAACCTGGGCATGTGCCCTGACCAGGAATCAAACCAGCGACCTCTTGGTGCATGGGTTGACGCTCAACCACTGAGCCTACACCGGCTGGGCAATTTTATTTGTTTTAAAAACTGAACTACTTTAGAAATGAGAGCAAATTTTACTCAGATTCTATAGTGCCAGCGAAAATTTTCATGATCAAAACTTTGCCTACACTCTGGATACTCATAAGATCTCTAATTAGACTTGAGCAGCTAAGGAACTGTTATTACTGACCCCTTATCAGCAAGGTTTTTATGCTGCATGAATTCTTTGATGTTTAATAAGGGCTGAACTTACCCAAAAGGGCCCCCTGCACTCATCACATTCATAGGGTTTATCACTGGTGTGGATTCTCTGATGCTGAATAAGACCCGAGGGCCCACTAAAATCTTTCCACAGTCTTCACATGTATAGGATTTTACTCCAGTATGTTCTCTATGATTTCCAATGAGATGTGAGCCTTGACTGAAGGCTTTTCCACATTCATTACATTTATAGGGTTTCTCTCCAGTGAGTTCTCCTGTGCTCACTGAGGGCTGAGCTATGACTGAAACTGTTCCCACAGTCATCACACTGATGGTGTCTTCTTTCCCTCTGTCACCTCTCTAATCTGCCCTCACTTTCAGTAGCATCTTTAGATTCATGATATTAAGGAAGGTCTTTCATCAGTCTGTTATTTACCTTCCCAAGGAATTCCATGTCCTTGAGTATATGTTCCTTCTGGGACAACCCTTCATTCTCTGTCCTGGTTTTATCACCTATAACAAACAGGCCCTATTTTAGATTTGAGAGGCAAACGCCTAAGGGGCTAGTAAGAACATGCAAATATTACAAACATGTTATAGAAAAATGAAAAGTCACAATGTAAAAATCAGGTATTTGGCACCATCAAAACACATACTGACGATACCGGGAAGACAGTAAGAGGCCAGGGAAGAAGACAGCAGCAGGATATGACATTTAGGAATAGATTAAGGAGAGAGGAAAAGGCAAAAATGTGGATCAAGGGGTTACCTGGCAAACCGGTGCAAAAGTGGAGTGGTAAATGCAAATGGGGCTAACCAAGAGGGAGCTGAGAGGAATGTAGTGCGTAGGAACCACCAAAGCGGGAGGAAGAAGTAGGAGGGACAGTGCGAAGCCTGGTGCATGTGCTGGGTTGGATCCTTTTTCTGAAACGATCAGTCCTAATGTTCTGTCCTGTTACGAGAACTGACTACGTCTGGCTGACTCTTCCCTTGGCTTCAGTGACAACCCGTCTTCTGCTTCTCTTACATCTCCTACAGTCCTTTACAGAATCCTTCTCCACTGAAACTTAATTGGGGCTCTCTTACTTTATATGTTTTTCCTTGTCAACCTCGTTGACACCCATGTCTTTTGTCATCTACCCAGGATGACTCCCAAATCTCCACCTCCTCCCACACCTTTCCCCAGATCTAGAACATTTTATTTTTTACTTTACTAATTTTTTAGAGGGAGAGATAGAAACACTGATGAGAGAGAACATCGATTGGCCACCTCCTGCATGGACCCCAGTGGGGATCAGGCCCACAACCTGGGCATGTGCCCTGACCGGAAATCAAACTGGTGCATGTGTCGATGCTCAACCACTGAGCCACACCACCTGGCGATCTAGAACATTTTAAACTGCACTGCATGCTGAATTTTATTTACTGGGATGTCTCACAGGCACTGCAAATTTACATGTATAAAAAGTGAATTCACACCAGCTCTTCTTCACATGTAGATACAGGCAGACCTCGGAGACACTGAAGTTTGGTTCCAGACCACCAACATAAAGCCATGATCTCAATAAAGCATGTTGTAAGCCTTCTGCTAGTGGAGGGCTGTGCCTTTGATTCATAGAAAACATCTGTGGAACACAATAAAGATAAGTGCAATAAATAAGGTCTGCCTGTACATCCACTTCTGATTTTCCTCAGTCACTGACACCATTATCTGCTAAGTTGTCCAAGACACATATGTGGATTGCACTGAAATACCCCATCCCCATAATGCAGTCAGATTTGCTCATTCCCACAGTAAGTAAATATTTCTTGATTTTCCCCTTTTCTTTCTCCAGCCTCATTCCCGCTCTAGTTGACCACCCTCTATATTTGAAAGCGGTCTCCCTGCACCCCCAGTATAAGCATCTTTTCTCTCTAATACAGCTGTTATTTCACTTACAGACTTTAGAAAATAAGTCACCTATGATTTCATTATATTGACATAATTTTTGTCTGCAATTGCAAATAATCCTTCCAATCTTTTTCTATGTAATTTTTTAAAAAATGCAATCAGTGCCCTGGCCGGTTTGGCTCAGTGGTTAGAGCGTCGGCCTGTGGTCCTGAGAGACCCGGGTTCGGTTCCCGCTGGGGGCGCGTACCTCGGTTGCAGCTTGTCCCCGGCCCTGGTCGGTTGTGCAGGTGGCAGCCACTCGATGTGTTCCTTTAGCATCGATGTTTTCTCTCTCTCTCTCTCTCTCTGTTCCTCTCTCTCCCTCCCACTCTACCTGAACAAAAAATGGAAAAATGTCCTCCAGTGAGGATTAAAAAAAAAAAAAAAAAAATGGAATCAGTGATTTTTCTCTGCTTACACTTCTGTGACACCCCCACCCCCATCTGACAGAACGAAGTTCGGTTTCTTTGGTATGATGTTCAGGAATATTCACCACTGGCCTTTGATTTTACCCTCACAAAATTCTCCATATCATAGACTCAGAGCAGTTGCTGCTCTTAGAGTGTGTGAGGCTCTTCTGCTTCTTTCCCTCACTGCTCTGTCTGGAACGTCCCCCTCTCAGCTCACACAGACACACTGATGCCTCACAGTCCTGCCATGTGGACAGCTTCCTGAAGAATTCAAGTGTCTTATCTTTTACCCCTTACCACATGGTACCTGGCACAGAGCTACTGCACAACAAATGTTCAATGAACAGGAGTGAACAGCAGTCTCAACTTCACCTCTAAAGCTAATCAATAACCAACATTTCACTTCAAAGCACTGCCAGACTCCTTTAAGGTACACATAAGTAAATGCAATGCTTTCCAGATATCAGCCAGAAATATCTTAGCTTAAAATAACTTTTCGGATAAGACAAACCACCTGGCAGGGACCCTAGACAATGAGAGAATCATACTGGTGATATTTAAAGTAGTGAGGATGGAATCAGGGAGCATCATGAACATGAGCACCTCTATCAAAGGGGCGGGGCATTGGAAGCAGAATTTGGGTAAACTGGGTAGAATCTGTCTGCTTCTCAGTGTAGCCTGAGGATACATCAGATGCCCTGGGGTTTTTTTTATCCTCACCCGAGGATATTTTTTCCATTTTTTGTACAGATAGAGTGGTGGGAGGGAGAGAGAGGAAGGGAGAGTGAGAAACATCGACGTGAAGGGACACATCAAGTGGCTGCCACCCGCACGACCAACCAGGGCCGGGGACAAACTGCAACCGAAGTATGTGCCCTTAGCGGGAACCGAACCCGGGTCTCTCTGGACCGCAGGCCGACGCTCTAACCGCTGAGCCAAACCGGCCAGGGCAGATGCCCTGGTTTTAATTAGTGGTCTGATTAGGGGAATGGGAAGCAAACCACAACCCAAATCCCATCAACTTACATGCAGAGACACAAAGAGCCTGCCATGCTGACTGATGACTGCTCTTCCCCACTTCTTCTAGCATGAGGTGTATTATGGATTGAATTGTGCTCCCCCATCTGTATGTTGTAGTTCTAACCCCCATTGGGACTGTATTTGGGAAAAGGGCCTTTAAACAGGTCATATGGATACATGAAGTCATAAGGATGGGGCCCTAATCCAACAGGTGTAAGAGGGAGTGACACCACAGTTGGGAACAGAGAAGAGGCCACACAAGGACACAGGAGAGGCCTCACCAGAAATGAGCCCTGCCCGCACCTTGGTCTTGGATTTTCCAGCTTCTCAAACTGTGAGAAAACAAGTTTCTGTTGTTTAAGCCCTCAGTCTGTGGTATTCTGTTCTGGCAGCCCTAGGAGACTAGTACAGGGTGTCGTGTAACTTGAATGAGTATTTAAGTATCATCCCCCACCTGTTAGGTTAAATGACAGCTTTTAAGTCTAATGAAAAGCTAAAATATAATTCTTCCCATAATGTGGCAAGGATAGGAAGGGGAGTGAAATCTCTCGTAGGGAGGTGGAGGACAAACAGGAAAAGCTGGAAAAGAGGTGAGAAAACACCTCTAACTATGAAGGCACCTCTTCCCTCACACACAGAAAGTACTTCTTACCATTCCTTTGGGGCTCCTGCTGGGTCTTCTTTGGGTGGAGCTGGACAGTCAGTAACTCATGTGACCATTCCCAAGGAGGCCAACTTGTCCAGAAGTGTGTCCTGTCTTTCTGACTTGGATGGGATTTAGAACAATAGAGTATGGTTGGCCTTGTAAGGTAGATTTGGTGAAAGAACTGCAAGAACTTCAGAGAAAAGATCAAAAGTAGCATCTGCCAAGGACAAATTCTTGTTAACCTGCAAACACCAGTAACAGCTGAAAGAGAACTCTAGGGGCTAATCTACTGTTCTGGACACTGAGAGTGACGTTCAGTGGCTCTTCTCATGGTGATCTGCTGAGGCCCAGGATATCTGTCTTGCCACTTGGAAGGCACCTTAGAAGCCATCTAGCCCAACTCCCACCACATTGGGCATTCCTCCTCACCGATGTCCAGTGTTACAGCCACAAGCAAAATGCGGTTACAGAGCACTTGAAACAGGGCTAGTAAGACCTGAGATCTGCGAAGTGTAAAATACACACCAAACTTTGAACAACATAAAACATCTCACTTTTATACTGATTACATATTCTGGGTTAAATAAAATGTACCATTTGGTTTCACCTGTTTCTATCTGAATGTGGTTCACATTATAGTTCTGTTGGATAGTGCTGTTCTGTACTGTCCCCGACATCTACTGACCCCAAGTTGAGTACTCCTACGGAAAGGGAAGTATTTTTTATTACAAGGTAGCCTATCTTATACATAGTTATGAATGTTAGGAAACTGCTTTTTTTTCTTTTCTGATACCCATTTGCCTTCCTGTAACTTCTCACTGACCCCAGCCTTCTACACTGACACAGACTCAGTCTGCTATGTCTTTACTGCGCCATCCCTAAGCTTGTTCTCTAGGATCATACATTAAATGACTCAGGGTGTTCTTTCATATGCCCTTTGGTTGGCTGCTCCATACGCCCTGACCTCTCATGGCCACCCCTTTTCCATCCCTCACCAGATCCTCCAGCACAGTCACCTCCTGCTCGCCTGTCTCCGGATGGTGCACCTACACCAATGTCGAAGGTCCCCTGGTAGGATGTTCAGGAACTGCTCCAGCACCAGTAGGTCTAAAATCTGCTCCTTCGTGTGGCGTTGTGGCCGCAGCCACAGCCGGCACAGCTCGCGGAGCCGGGCCAAGGTGCATCCTGATAGCAGAGTTCCCGCCCTGGCGGCCCCGGCGTTGGTGCGGTGCAGCCCCCACCCCAGCAACGCTCTTCTGCCTTAACTACTACAGGTCCTTGCTGTCCTTCGGGGGGCAGGGCTGTGGCCATTCCGAGCCGTTTCCAGACGAATCCTCTGTTTGGAACCAATTTAAGAAACTTACAACCTTGTCTCAGAGAAAAATTTGTTGCCACAGAGAAATTAACGAGCTGCTGTGAACAAAAGCACGAAGGGAGGCAGAGCCAGCAGGGCCGCGGTCTCCCGGACTGACACAGGGACGTGCACTCCGAGCGAGTCGCTCATCTGGTGCCGTCGGCGGATTCTCCTGCTCGCGGGGCAGACGCGTGCAGAGTCGCGGCCTGCAGCCGCACAGTCAGCCCTCACCGGGGCAGGGGAACAGTCGTGCACCCGACCCCCGGCTCGGCGGCAGTGTGGCTCGTGCCCAACCGGGGTAACGGGCTACCGCGCCCCGCTCTTCCCACCAGGCGGACAGACCCTCACCAGCCCCTCCCCACGCCAGCCCTGCGAAAGAGCGACCGAGAACGTAGGACGACGTGCGACCACCAACCCGCCCGGCTGAAGTGCACCCTGGAAACCCACCCCCAGAAAGCACAGCGCGAGCCCAACCTGGAAAAAGTGCACCAACGATTCTAATCCGGAGGAAGTGCTCAGATAAACACCGTCCGGAGGAAATGCATCCAAGAATCCGGTCCGGAGAAAGCGTTCACATAAATTGGTCCCAGAGGAAGTGCGCCCCAAAATTCCGTTTGGAGGAAGTGATCACGTGTATTGGGCCCTGAGGAAGTGCATTCATGAGACCGGTCCCCAGGAAGTGCTCACATAAATTGGGACCGGACTCAATCCAGCTGGAGTGGACCCACAACCCGCTAGGCTGAGCCCCTCATTGGCCCACGGACCCTGGCCCCGCCCGCTCCTCGCGCCTCCTGGCAGCCACGCAGCTAATCGCAGGGAGGGCGGCGGGGCTGACTGGCAGAGGAGCGGGTGGGACCGAGTCATTCAGCCCCAGGGTCCAGCGGAGGCCGGCACTTCGGGAATAGGGTCTCAGAGGAACCGGCTCCCCCATGCCCAGGGCACCCACGCCCAGGGCAGGTAGCTCGCGTCCTTTGAATTGTTAGTGACTCGGCGTGTTCGAAAACTTTTGACTTTGGTTTCCTAAGTGTGTACCCGAGCACAGATTCCAGGTATCAGAAAGGAAACCGGTATAAGAGAATCCAGGAACTCGAGGGGGCGTGGATCGGCTGTGGCCCGACCAGACTGGAGCACCGGGTCTCAGACGCGGAGAGCAGGCTGGTGGCGGAGGCAAGGCTCAGAATACTGGGGAACGCCTGGCCCAATGCCCAGAATGGCCGCTGTTTTACTAAAGCCAGGGCGCCGGGGAAACCGCGGGTATACAAGGCAGGAATGGAGGGAACGTGTGAAGAGATGTTTCTTGGCCTAAGAGATGTTTCTTGGCCTAAGGAGCCCACAGTCCATCTGAGGGAACAATGTCTAATGCTTAGAAGCTTCTGGTACAGAGCTGGACAAACTCCTATTGGAATCCCGAGTTGTGTGATCAAGATGGCCACAGGTGAGGAGCAACCTCACTCCTCAGGCAGTCTCCAAAGGCAAACAACCTGTTAGAGCAGAAGCAATCTAAGGTGCGAGAATCCTGGCAGCAATGGAATAGGCTGTTGGCCAGAACTTTTGCAAGTGTTCAGGGAGTTGTTATCAGGAAATAAATTTCTGGGCCCCACAAAGCTCTGAGCCAACGCCAGAAACTTGGCTGTTAATAGCTGGGGTCCAAGACACAACCGAACAGCAGAGTCCACAGTTTCCAGTGCTGAAGCAGGTCTGGGCCGTCCTGTGTGCAGGAGCAGCATTCCCATGTGAGCAGGAAGCTTTAGAGAAAGAGTTTGATGATTTAGGACAGAGGTGAGAAAGAAGAGTTGTAAAGAAGGAGGCATTTAAAATTGGAACGTGTGGATCATTGCTGAGCTGAAGTCTCTGGTTCCTTTGCCCTTCTCTTAACTTCTTGCTACACTCTTTCCTAGACTTGAAGAAAAGCTGTTTCTAGTTCCTAGGTCTCCTGTGTTCCTTGGTTATACTACTTGTATTTTCTGAAGCTTTAGTTCCAGCCCCCAGTAGGGATCCTTACCAGCTCACCAGTAGCTAATTTTCTCTAGGCCCTAGTTTGTTGCCTTAGACCACAAATGCTTTTAAAGAGAATAGTGGATAGATTCCAAAATGGCGGCGGAAGCTACACAGACCATCTCCCAGACTGGAATTAGAACTAAAATACAGACAAATCCATGGGAAAAAGCAACTTGCGAGGACCATATAACCAGGGACACTGACTCGATTCTGGTAGGACTGCGAAGGCGCAAGAAGGGGGCAGGGAGCCCATGGTTGGCAGTTCGGCAGCGGCCTTAGTTGGGAGCAGCGGCCTTAGCTGGGAGCAGCACCCTCAGGTTAAACTCCCAAGCGGCTCCACAATGCAGAGCTGGGACAGAGACTAAAATAGCCACAGCCACTCACCTTGGGCTCCAGCAGAGGGAGAGCAGACTGGACTGGAACTGTGTGGGGACACTCGGGATCGGGAGGGCACTCAGAGCTTTTGCTGAATTGCAGCCACGCAGGATGGTGGCCATATTGCTTCTTCCCAGGACTCTGGGGAGAGGCAGCAGCCCCACCCTTGGAGAATCAACCCCACCCTGTGGGCCATTGAAATGCAAATTGAGGCTTACTAACAACCAGCATCTGCCCCACCCTTGGGAAATCCCCTTACACTGAGCATGTGAGGGAGTTTTTCAGTCAACTAACAACCCAAAACTCGTCAAGTAACCTGGGCTGCTAGCCTCCAGGCAAAAAGCTAGAGGATAACAGTACCATTCCTGGGTTAGCAACTCTAACCAGGAAAGTAAGACATAACAGAGGTGTTTAACATGGGTCCTCCCTCGCTCATCTAAACCCAGGAGAGGGAACCACAAAGAGCAGAACACAAATACCCATGGGAAAACTTAGCAGGCTCCAAAACCCACTGTGTTAGCCAAAATGGTGAAACACAGAAACAAAAGCAAATGAAAGAACAAAAGACCTCCACTGAAGATGATATCAATGTGGAGCAGTTAGGCAAGTTAACAGAACTAAAATTCAGAGCCATGATCTTAAGGAAGCTCAACAGCATGAGTAAGCACATAGAGATGCTGAAAATAAACCAATTGGAAATTAAAAACCACCAAGAAGAGATCAAGAGTGACATATCAGAAATAAAGAACACATTGGAAGGTCTAAAGAGCAGAGTAGAGGGAGCTGAGGACCGGATCAGCAAATTAGAAGACAGGATAGAAAAAAATCAACCAATCAGAAACGATTAAAATAACGGGAAGACAGCTTAAGAGAACTGTGGGACTACTGGAAACATAATAATATTCGCATCATAGGAGTCCCCGAAGAAGAAGAAAATGAGCAACGGTTAGAGAATATATTCAAAGAAATAGTGACAGAAAACTTCCCTAATTTGGTGAAGGAAGAAGGCATTCAAGTTCAAGAAACACAGAGAGCCCCAAGTAAGAAGAACCCAAACAGGCCCACACCAAGACACATAGTAATCAAACTGCCAAAAATTAAAGACAAAGAGAGAATCCTAAAAACAGCAAGAGATAAGCAACAGGTTACCTACAAAGGAACACCCATAAGGCTCTCAGCTGACTTCTCACAAGAAACACTACAGGCCAGAAGGGAATGGCATGAAGTAATCAAGGTCATGAAAAACAAGGATCTGAATCCAAGACTACCCTGCCCACCAAGGCTATCATTCATAATAGAAGGTCAAATAAAGAGCTTCCCAGACAAAAAAAAAAAAAAAAAAAAAGGCTAAGGGAATACATTAGCACCAAACCAGCACGATAGGAAATGTTAAAAGGACTGCTGTAATTAGTAGAAGAAATAAAAAGAAAAATTGAACCAAACTAAACAAAAATGGCAATAAATTAGTACATATCAATAATCAGTTAAAGGAATTCATCACCACCAAACAATTATTGTATGAAATGATAAAGGGTCCTTTTGAAGAAAAAGATAAAATATATAAAAAAACAAAATGGCAATGACTATATATCTATCAACAATGGAATCTACAGACAAAATGAACAAGCACAACAGAAACATTCCCATAGATACAGAGAACATTTTGTTGGATGCCAGATGGGAGGAGGGTTGGGGGAATGGGTGAAAAAGGTGAAGGGATTAAGAAGTACCAATTCATTACTACACTGACAAACCTCAAAGGGAAAGGGTTTGGGGGGTGAGAAGAAATAAACCAAAGAACTTATACACACAACCAATGGACACAGACAATAGTGTGGGAAAGGTGGAAAGGGGGTGGGAGTGGAGAGGAGGGGGTCAATGGGGGAACAATGAGGAACATCTGTAACACATTCAACAATAGAGATTTCAAAAATAATAATAATCACCTTAAATGTAAATCGACTGAATTCTCCAATAAAAAGACACAGAGTAGCTGATTGGATAAGAAAGCATGACTCGCCCTGGCCGGTTTGGTTCAGCGGTTAGAGCGTCGGCCTGCAGTCCAGAGAGACCCGGGTTCGGTTCCCGCTACGGGCGCGTACCTCGGTTGCAGTGTGTCCCCAGCCCTGGTCGGTTGTGTGGGTGGCAGCCACTCGATGTGTTCCTTTCACATCAATGTTTCTCTCTCTCTCTCTCTGTTCCTCTCTCTCCCTCCCACTCTACCTGAACAAAAAATGGGAAAATGTCCTCAGGTGAGGATAAAAAAAACAAAAAAACAAACAAACAAAAAAAAAGATAGAAAGAAAGCATGACTCATCTATATGCTGTTTACAAGAAACCTACCTCACAACAAAAGACTCACATAGGTTGAAAGTGAAGGGATGGAAAAAAAATTTTCCAAGCAAACAGAAAGCAAAAAAAAAGCTGGGGTAGCAATTCTCATATCTGATAAAGTAGAGTTCAAAATGAAGACCATAACTAGAGACAAAGAAGGCCACCACATAATATTGAAAGGATCTATCCAACAGGAAGATATAACCTTCATAAACATATATGCACCCAATATAGGAGCACCAAAATATATTAAAAATCTTCTGGAGGACTTCAAAGGAGAAATCGAAAGCAATACAATCATAGCAGGGGACTTCAACACCCTGTTGACACCACTGGATACATCCTCTAGACAAAAAATTAGCATGGAAACAGAGACTCTAAATGAAGCCCTAGCCCAAATGGATTTAATAGATATCTAGAGAGAATTACACCCCAAAACTACAGAATTCACATTCTTCTCAAGTGCACATGGGACATTATCAAATATAGACCACATGATAGGCCACAAACTAAATCTTGACAAGTTCAAGAAGATTGAAATCATATCAAGCATCTTCTCAGATCACAATGGCATGAAACTAGAAATCAATTGCAACAAAAACATGCAAAGACATTTGAACACACGGAGCCTAAATAGCATGTTATTAAACAATGAATGGGTTACCTAGGAGATAAAGGAAGAAATCAAAAACTTCCTGGAAACCAGTGAAAATGAACACACAACAACACAAAATCTATGGGATGCAGCAAAAGCAGTTCTGAGAGGGTAGTTCATAGCACTACAGGCCTACCTCAAGAAACAAGAAAAATTTCTAATTGATTGTGTAACCTCACAACTTAAAGAATTAGAAAGGAAAAAAAAAAAAAAAGGAAACCCCACAGC